CCAAGTGTTTTCTTTGAACCTAAATTCTTTGAAGTATCCTGAAAGTATATTCAAAAGCGTCCAACTTTTTGAAACATCTTGGTATGTCTGACAGCCAAATTTCCCTGCAAATTTTTGCTTACTTTTCTCCCTAATTTTCTTCTTTCCTTCTACAGTTATTTTCAGTGCTCACACAAGAAAATTAAGATTTTTCGATTGCTAGACTTCCATAAATTTTGCATTCTTGTCAATTTTTTAAAATATCAATTACATGAATTGCGTTTCAGCTGAAGACAGCTTTTCATTTTCTAGTCATTTTAACTATAAATAAAGTTTAAAGCAAAGTCCAAGTCCAAAGGATAAATATTTTAATTAAAAGATTTTTGCTAAATGACAAAGAAATAAAACAGTCCAGCAGGGTTTATTCTGTACCACCGAGTGACCCGATTCTTATATCGGCTGAAACAATCTAAATCATATTAAAGATCATGTTTTTTTATACAATCTATAACGCGAGAGAAAAATTAGCTTCTTAAAACATTCTTTCTAAGAGGATTAATATAAAAGATTATATTTATATATATATATTTTTAAAGCTGGGACTTGAACCAAACTGTCAAACTTTTAAAGTTTAATTTACATGGTGGTTATAATTAAAGTTCCAATTTGAAATGGTCATAAAAGGAAAACTACCGGACCAAATGTTATCAAACTTGGGAATCGTGTAAAGGAGGTTATGGGAATTTATTTTCCGCGGGGGAAAAAAAAAAAAAAAAAAAGAGTTCAAAAAACTCACCACCAGTGGAAATGAAATCATGTTTAAAATGTGTTTAATATTTTCCGAAACGTGTTACAAAGCATGTTCAATGTAGCGTCCAGCATTTTCCGAAAGCAAGTTAAATCCTGTTACTGCATTCTCAACAGCAGCTCTTAGCATATCAGGAGGAAATGTTACGGTGTCATCACATTTTTCATTTCTGCCAAATTGTTTAGATTATCACCATAAACAGTGCTTTTGAGATAACCCCATAGCCAAAAGTCACAGAGGTTGAGGTCTGGTGGGAAAAGGGGAAGTGTTGGCCTATAAGACGTTCATTCGTGAAATGTTGCCTAAGTAACTGTGCGACACACGTGAGGTGGGGCCCAGCCCTGCATAAAAATCGTAGTATATCTAAAATGCCACGTTACTGCAGTTCATGTATCACGAAACATTTTAACATTGACTCTAAGTAAGCTGCAATCACAGTGGTCCAGCTGTCGACTGCTCTTCAGAGAAAAATGGTTCAGTTATAAAACTAGCAGTCATTCAACACTAAACGGTGTGGAATGACTGCTATGCAATCGAATGCAGTAGGAGAATGCAATGGAACTAGATAGATAACATGAGGGATTTCTTTGGCCCAAATCGATTAAAAGCGTTTTGAATCAGTATCTTCATGTTTTAGGGCCGAATTCAGGCTTCAAAAATTACAAATTAGCGATCTGTAAGAAAACGATTTCCAGATTGTACGCACTTGTGCGAGTGATTTGCGATCTCACATTTTCTAATCGCTAATTCGTGGTTTTCACGGACGAATTTCTCACTTACACGGATGGCGCACTCGACTTTTATCGAATTTAACGCTTTTAAATGGTAATTTGCCTACTTCAAAGTTTCTTAAGGGTATACAACATATTAAACCCGTGTAACAAAAGGTTAAGTTAGATTCCGACCCATATTTCGTTTAACAATATTGCATACAGCGCCATTTCCCCCCCCCCTGGTGGTGAGGTTTCGAACTTCCTTTTTTTTTTCGCGGAAAATAAATTCCCATGACCTCCTTTACACGATTACCAAGTTTGATAACATTTGATCCAGTAGTTTTCCTTTTATGACCGTTTCAATGTGGAACTTTAATTATAACCACTCTGTATATTAAATTTTAATTTGAAGCTATGCGTTATATGTATACCATGCGTAATTTTTTCGCTTTTATGGAAAAATAAAGAATCGAAGCAAATATACTTAGGATAATGGACCAAAACTGAAAAAATTTCCCCTCCCTCCGAAAATAAAATATTGAAACTTCGACCTTGAATTTATTGGGTTATCGAAATATTTAATTTGACTTATCTTCTAAGTCCTAGTTCCGACAACAATTCCGTCAAAAATTCGAATTACTGAAAATCGTCGAAGTCGCCGCGAATGGGGCTGCTGATGGGTTTTCGTGGTTTTCCCATGTAACGTGTATATGAGCCAGTTTTCCTTAGAAAGTCCTCCACGAAGGCATCCTCCTCCCTTTAGGCAGATAGCCCTCGTGTGCTTTGCCATAATTAAATAATCCAATCCAAAATCCAATTCCTTAATTAAATATAATTGATTTGTAAATTCTACTAGAACTGACGGTAAAAATTGAAGTGCAAATAAATAATATCGTGTGCAATCTTGATTAATATAAAATTAAAAATATTTGCATAGAAAAATATTTGCATTCAGACAGAAATTTTTTTGAAATATTTGCAATTACTTTATAAGAAGGATTTATTAATAACCGTAATAATTACTTATTATATTACTGATGATTAGGATTCAGTTCTTGACAATTACATTCTAAATTAGAATTTTAAGGATATAATGAAAATACGCTATTTGCAGAAAAATACATTTTAGGATAAAAAATGAGTTGTTTTTTATGTTTTAAAAACTTTTTTAATTCATTTAATAAACATCGTATCCCTCGTTGTTAATTGAATCCAGAATGTTGGTGTTGTTTATATAATTATTCTTACTTGTCCACAGAACCTGCTGACTTATCCAGCCATTAAGTAGCTGCAGATCATTTCTACATAACCATTGAACTTCCATTAATTCGATCTCTAGAGGGTTTATATTTTTATATCATAATTTGACTTTTATAAAAATGATTATTCTAAATCTTATGTTTTCTATAAAAATATACTGTGCTTTAAAAATATGGATGATAGTATCAGCCGCTCTTTCAGCCACTTCAAAAGCAACAGTTTGTTTAGAAATAAATTATGCAGTTAATGTCATAAAATTTTTCAAATAAACATCAAACGAAAATTCTCAGTTTTAGAAACAATTCGATTTAAACGAAGTAAAGTAGCAGACGATAAAACGCCGAAGGTAAAAATTTACTCATAAATTTATTTATGAATATTTACATATTAAAAATTTATGACATATTTATTTATTTATTTTTTTAAAAAATAGAGAGAAATAAAAATAGTTAAAAATTTGAATAATATCATTGATAATTTAAAAAAATAGCTTTTCATTTAGTATTAATAAATATTTCTTACGCATCATTGAGGGAAAAAATGTCATATAATTAATTCTCCATAAAATTTTACTTGAAATTTAAGGTTAAAAATAGCTGTGGCAATTCAGTGTAACAAAAATCCATAGACCACATTTGGCGTTATTATCGCTCCAAAAAAAGATGCCAAATTTCAAAACGTGAAAATATGTAAATTCGTGTATATCTTAGAAAATTTTGAATAAAAAAGTCTAATTTTTTTCAGATATGCTTAAAAATACACCTACTTTAAGATGATGGTAAAAATTTTATAGGTTATAATTCAAAATTTTTTTTCGAAAAATTTATAAAAATTATTTAAAATAGAAATTTAAAAAATAAAACACAAAAAATGGGTAAATTTTATTTGGAATGAACCTAAATTTTCGAAATGTGAGAGAAAAAAATCAAAAAAGTTTAATAAAAAAGAGATATTAATAAATATTTACCAAATTCAATTAACATTGAGGAGCTAAAATTTTTGAGAGCTAATATTTTTAAAAACTACTGGTACGATTTTTACAAAACTTGGTATTCTGGCATAATTTGAGTCGTAGAATCGAAATATGGAAAAAAAGTGGTATGTTATTTCAGAAAAAGTCCGATTTTGTGTCAAAATACCTATGTTAGAATAGTGCTATATCTAAATCTAATATATATCCTAAGTTGCGCTTTCGAGACATGAAGAACGCAATTTGAATTTCGTGAATCGCCCCAGTAGAACGAGAGATATAGCACTGTCCCATTTTTTTTTTTTGAGCAGTGTACATGGGTTGATTACTGTCTTGCATATACTTGAAGATACACTGAAAGCATGACACTTTTATCAAATATTGGTCTATTTCACAGTTGCACCTGTTATTTATTTGGATTTATATCTAAAACACACCATGATATTTTAGATATAAATGCTTATGTAGGATAACAGAAATGATCATCTGTGTAAAAAGAAATTCATAATAATGCTTCATAGTTCTATTGTTTATCTGGGGGTGGAGTAAAAAATAAAACCCAATATACTGTTGAACTAGGCTTTAAATCCCAGCTGATTCATTTGTGGAAGAATCATATCCAGGAAGACCAGTGCTCTGCTGTTTTATCCATTGCTCAAAGAACTGAAGTTCTAGGAAACATATTTCCTCAAAAACATTTTGGTACAGTAAAAGTGCAACTGTCAGTCATTCAAGTAACCAGAATATTTTCAAATTTTAGAAACCTTTTTTTTTTTACATAAAATTAAACAGAGATTTGTATCTTCTTCTAAAGTTCAAATAGTATTACAATAATAATCACATAAAAACTCTTTCCAAATAATGCAATAACAGCTAAGCATGATGTAATGCTTTGTATTTAATTTTTGATTTTAAGTAAGTTTAATTTTTGTAAAAAATGAGGGCACTTGCATGTTATTTCATTGTTTTGAAATAGAAATGAAATAATCATAACAACCAAAAAATAAAATATATGTAAAACACTTAATGTCCTAAATTAAGTGCTTAACATAGGATATGTTGATTTGTTTTATTTAGGATATGCTAATTTGTTTTGTTTGAAATTAGAAATAAGATTTGGTTTGAGATTATTTTGCCATCTGAAATTTATATTTTTAGTACCGAGTTCATTGCTAAAAAAATGTAATAACATAATTTCTAATTTTTCATGACTCTTTTCAATTTTCAGATTGAAGTGAATCCCAGGTGTGGTTTACTGATTTCCTAATGCCTTATGAAGCATGGGTGCCATTCAAGATGAAAACGAAAACAAAAACGTAAGTTTTGTGGTTAATTTTATTATGAGTTCATTAACGATTAAATTTTTTTAAAAACCTTTTTTTTTTTTTTTTTTTTTTTTTTTTAAAGTGGCCACTCCACTTGCCTTTGGCAACATTGAATTTGCATGTTATAGATTGAGCAATTAAGTTTGCTGACTGTGGTAGTCACTTTAACAGGGAAGCATTTTAGCTTTATAGACAAGATGCTAATATCTTATGTTATTTTCCAGAACACCAGCGGTAACGTAATGCCCAAGTACGTGGAACCAGTAATAGAGCCTGTGAATGGCATTGTTCAGCCTCCTGTTATTCCACCTCCCGATAAACCACATAGGAATACCAATCAGTTACATTTTCTGCTGAAGACAGTCATGAAGGCAGTTTGGAAACATCAATTTGCCTGGCCTTTTTACCAACCGGTGGATGCTGTGAAATTAAATATTCCGGTAAGTATTTTATTCTGAAATTTAAACTCTATTTATTATGTAATAAAGTATGAGTAAAATCTAGAAGACTTTCATTTTAGTGCAAAAGCAAACTTAGCTTGATTTTTCTTTCTTTAAAGTAGGACTGTTGCAATTTTTTAAAATTAAATTTCAAAGGCTACTGAAATAATGTTTCAGATGAAATTTTGTTCATATTAATAAATCATATTATTTAAACTGGTGATACAGACTAGAAGACACTAGAGATAACTAACTGTAAAATTTTATTTTAAGCTAGCTGTAAAAAAGTGAAACCTTCCAATTAATGGAATTTGTGAACAAATGGGAAGAAGTGGTAATAAATGAAATTAGCATAACAGAAGATTTTCATTGTGATGACATTGTCCCAATTATCAGTCAACTAACGGACAACAAAGTGTGTAGTATGGTTCTAAATCCAGGGAATATCATTAACAATAGTGAAGAGAGTGACAGAGAGGTTATTGAGAAGGGGGGATGAATGAATGATAATTTAGTAGGAATTCTTGACATAGTAATTACAGGACTTGAAGTGCTAATCACTCCTGTGCAATTCTAAAGGAAGTAGCCATTCAGAATTAGTACTAAATTGCACTACTTGGCTGTTCGATGGGAGTACCAAGAAAAATTTTAAAAAAATAGGCTGTGTGAGATGCATTGTTACAATAAAAGTAAAGTTACCAAAACAGTTGTTTATCTCCATAGTTGACAACAAGTTCTCCAAAGTCAGGTCAACGCTTTCACGACATTTTGGTGGACACAGGGATTATCAGAAAGTAGTGAAAATACCAGTCATGATGTCAGTTACCAAAACAAATGTTTCTGTACATAGTTGCCAATGAGTTCATGAGTGCTCTCAAAAGTGAGCAATGTGTTCATAACTTTCTTTTGGGGCATGGATAATCAAAATGTAAAGAAAATACCATTCACAATGATCAAATTATTTAGCTCCAAATTTGAATATCTTAATTGAAGATGATGAGGAACAATGCCTTTCAACTTAATAGTGATCCTGGTTTTAACTTTTCAAAAATTTTGATCCAGTGCTGTTAAAAAATGTAAAATTTTGACTTGGTTCTGTTAAAATAGTAATTTACTTATTGCCAGTATAATTTTGTGTTAGCTTCCTTTTGTATTTAAATTAATCACTCATAAGACGTTTTTAAAAGACAAACAAACCTTTATTTAAAGATAAATTATTCTCGTTGCTTAATAACCTAAACGTAACAAAATGTACATAACAAAACAGACGTTCTTACTGCATCGTACCGATATAAATTTCAATCGTACTTCATTGGAATATTTAAAAAAAAAAAAAAAGAACGAATCCAGAAATTAGCTGTTGCCATTTCTCAGTAGATAATCTGTCTAATAACAATAAATAATTTACAATCATGCTTACATTCGACCATCCTGACTTTTCAATTATCCTTAATTGAACCAAATCTTATCATACATTAAAACAACAAAATATAATAAGTAGGAAAAAAATAAAATTAAATATAATTTAAAAAATTCAATAAGTCCTATACAAAGTCTCTATAGCACAACAGCACAATTGTTTGCGCACTGTTCACTTGGGCCTTTAAGTTCGTCATAATCCTCGTCATTATCGCCATCGTCGTCATTGCCATCATCATTATTTGCTTCTGCATTTTTCCAAGATTTTAGTGACTTACATGAGAAGTTGATGCATAAAAGCGACCATCGGAGTCTTCTTATAGTTGTGATGTTCTATAAGTGTCACCTGGAAGTACTTCTGTCACAACCATTGGACCACGATATTTAGGTTGAGTTTTGGTTGGTTCTCCTGTAGATTTTGAATTTCTTTTAACTACTACTATTTCTCCTGGTTCAAATTATAGAGATTCCAATTTCTTCTTGTAATAATAAGTTTTAATTTTTTCTTGTTCTCTAGCACTCTTTTTGTAGTTTTTCCAGTTCCTTCCAAACTTCTGCTTCTTCATCAGCAAGTAATTTCAAAACTCCATCTTGAAATCGGGATATATGCATTTCAAATTGTGCTTTCCCAGTAGTTTTATTGACTGTGTTATTCAAATTTCTCTCAACTTCTTTAATTCTTTTGTCCCAATCCTTTTGATCTTTACTTTTCATTGATGTTACTATCGTTGGCAAAATTGTTCTGTTTGATTTCTTGACCATACCATTTCCTTGTGGATGGGAGGTTGAATTTAATGTATGAAGATTTCCCTTTTCCTTGCAAAAGTTTTTAAATTCCCTTGGAATAAAACAAGAACCTTGATCTGATATTATACGATCTGGTAATCCAAATTCTTCTATGAAAAATGGCAATGATTTCAGTATGTTTTTCTCAGCATACAATCGAATGAATCTGGTCATATTATCAATGACGACTAACAATTCCTTGTTTCTTTTAGAACTTGTGATGAAAGGTTCAAGCTGATCAATGAGTACTGTTGCAAAAAAGGTCTGCAGCCTGGAGGAATAGAATCCTTTTTCTACCTGGAAATTTGTTGAGGAGGCATTCGAAACTCATTGATGTATATCTCTTCATAGCAGGAAAACAGTATAGTTCTTTGATTTTTGAGAGTCTTATCAACAGCAAAATGTCCCATAAGGTCATGAAAGTTCACAACTATGTTTTTTCTCATGTTTTTAGGTAACGATGTGTAATAACTTCTTTTCTCCATCCTCTACAATACAGAACAGTCTATTCCTTTTCAAATATAATTCTCTACATTTTGATTTTCTTTGGTTCTTTCACTTTGGTCTTTCTTCAAGATTATTAATTCTCTTAACTTTTTATCTGCATGCTGTATGATAAGAATTCGTTTCTCTAAATTTAAAGTCAAACTTCTAAATTATCTTCTATCAAAGAATGCATGGGATCTGATGAATCAATAACAGACGCTCTACTGATTACATCGATATAAGACGTTTTAATCCCTGGTTTGTGACATATTTCAAAGTTATACTCTTGAATAAGAATACTCGCAACAGGCAATTTGGAGATTGCTAGATTTCTTTGCATTCATGCAAACCAATGCTTGGCAGTCTGCAACTACCCTAAATTCAATGCCGAGTAAGAATTGTCGATGTCTGTATAGAGTCCAGACAATTGCCATTAGCTCAAGTTTACTCGAATGATAATTCTTTTCAGCTTCCGTTGTCTTCTTACTCATGCAGTAGACAAGATGCCATTTGCCATCACCTCCTAGTTGAAGTAACATACCAGCAATACCCTCTGAACATGCATCAGAATGGACTTCTGTTTGAGCCTTAGGGTTGTACAAAGCTAAAATTCGTTGATTCGTCAGTTCATTTTTCAGCACTGTAAAAGAATTATGCTGATTTTCTTCCTATCTGAATGTTTGATTTTTCTTAGTTAGTTGAGTAAATGGTCCAGCTTTAATTGCATAATTTGAAATAAATCTTCTAAAAAAACTTGTTAAACCAAGAAATTGTCAAACTTCATGAATATTTTTAGAATTTTTATATTACTTCGACTTTTCTTGATCCTGGCTTTATTCCTTTTTTATTGATGATAAAGCCTAAATATTCTGTTTCTTGTTTGGCAAATTCACATTTCGATAACTTAGTACTTGCTGGAACGAGTATTTTATTAAGGTCAACACTTCTTTATTACATAATGAGCATAATGCACAGTACATTAGTTAAGCCAAAAATCATTCTTTCAAATTGTCCACTTTCATCCGGTGTTACGAAAGCAGTTTTCAATTTTGCACTTTCAATTAGTGGAATCTGTAAATATTTGTGTGTTAAATCTAGCATTGTAAACAGGCTGCACTCATGCAATTGTTCTAATTAATTATCTATTTTAGGCAGGGAAAATTTATCCTTTATAGTTTGACTATTGAGACATCTGTAATCAACAACTAATCTGTATTCACTGGTCTTTTTCTTTACTAATATGACAGGACTAGAATATGAGGATGGCGTTTCTGTTATAATTCCATTTTCTTTCCACTCTTGAACTATTTCTTTGATCGCAGCATTTGTCTTATAAGGTTTCATACATACTGGCTTTGAACCTTCGATTTCCTTAATGTCCGTTTTTGTAAGATCTGTGCACCCTAGTTCTGAAATATTTAGTGCGGAGCAATCTCTGTATTCATTCAGAAGACACGCTAACTCTTGCTGGTGATCAACGTCGAGATCCGAGCTAATTTTAACTTCGCTTAAACTTATAGGAACTTTTATGTTGTTAATATTTTCCCTTTTTGCTGGGTTTGAGCTCAATTCAGAAATTTCAGTATTTAAACATAGTTCAACTTCTGCTCTCCCAACGCGTTGATCTTTTTGGAGCTTACCACTTCTATTGCCATTGTTAATCATTGGTATACAAGTTTTGCCATTTTAAATTTCTAATAAACAGCCGATACCTTCGGAAGGATTTTCTGTCATAATTAATCCATTATCTACATAATCTGTTTGAGAACTGAAAAGACTGATCACATTTTTCTCTTAATTTATTTGCCTCAAGAGCTTTAAGGCAGACTTGATTTATTTTTTCATCAATTTGTAGGCTACTAAATAATTCATCTTCCCAATATCCGAAGTGAAATGTTTCCTATTCTGACAAAAGCGATGTGAGGGAGATCAAGCCATGTCCGTCTGATTATTAGATCAACTGTATTATTAGGAACAAGGTATATATTTATGCCTTGGCCTTTTACATTATCAGCTTCAATATCGGCTTTAATCATTCCTATAGAGGTCACTGCAGGCACCCTTTGATTTCCAAAACCATACAATTCATTCATAGCAGGTTCGGGTGACACTTTTAAGTTTCTGAGCAATTGAAATCCTTAAGAGACAACATGAACTCCCCATATCAATTAAAGCCTGTACTTCTTCAGAATTATTCAGTTACGCTTTCTTCAAATATGAATTGCTCTCTTCTAAATTTTCGCCAACTTGCTCAACAGAATAATTTTTATCATTTGAATGATTATTTTCAGCTTTAGGAACACAATTTTTAGATTTATGACCTGTTTTATTACATTTTCGGGATGTTACTACTGGTTTGGGCAGCAGACAGTCCTTGAAATGTGTCCAAAATTATTACAGCTGAAGCATTTTGGTTTACTTTTTTTCATTATGTGTGATACTGTAGAGTTTTTCTTGACGTTGATTGTAGCAACTGGTCCATCTTTCAAGGAGTTTTGTTTGTCAAAAGGCCCTTCTTTACATGATTGTTTATTGTTGAAAGTTGACTTCTAGGTATCATAATCATCTAGTTTTTCAACTTAATCAGTTGGCGAAATCAACTTAGACCAGACATCAATAAAATGGTATTTTACTTCCGGAGACACTTTACGTTTTATCTGATCCGCTATAATAAGGTCGCTCAGTTTCTTAAAAGTATCCAATTTAGTTCCACTTAACCATTTATTAAAAAAAATTTCTTAACTCGTACGCAGAATTCTTCCATGTGTTTCCTACACTCTTATTGTGTGTCAAAAATTGTTGGCGAAATTTTTCAGGTGTCATCTTGTACCATTTTAATAAGATCTTTTAAACTTCTTGCCCAAATATGATTAAAACTTACATTATTTTCTTCAGGTTTAATGTTTTGCCTCAAACGATGAAGTGAAACATAGTATAGAAATGATGTGATCATAGACCTCATGTACTTTTAAAAGAAATTCTTTAAGATATTTCTTTTAAATATGGATGAAGTTATTTGTGAATTAGTATTGATCATTACTGAATTATCATGAATCATTATTAAATAATTATTAATTATTATTGAAGTATTCATAATAATTTATTTATTTGTTCTCTGTAGGACTACCACAAGATAATCAAGGTTCCAATGGATTTGGGCACAATAAAGAAGCGCTTAGAGAATCACTACTACTATTCAGCTAGTGAATGCATTCAGGATTGTAATACAATGTTTATGAATTGTTATGTCTACAATAAGCCAGGAGAGGTTAGTTGCTTTATTATTATTATTATTATTATTATAGTGTTTATAAAAGTTTAATTTTACACCTTTTCATTATTGAATTGCTATGATAAAAATATGATAATGACAATCTTAGGTCAGCAGAAGGGACCATCTGCTTTTTCTGTGGTTTTAATTTTTCTGTTTCCTATATGTTCCTCAAGAGAACTCTTTCTGAAGATTTTTTATTTATTTATTTATTTATTTTCTGACATGTTCCCGGTGTATGGCCTACATCCATAAAAAGAGATGCAGAACAGCAGAATGATTTCTTAACAGGCTTGGCTAATGTTGGTTGACTGAAATTCAGTATCTTTATGTTTGTGGCATGTATTACGTAGAACTTACAGGCATTAACACAGTTGCCATTCTTAGCAGTTTTAGCATCAGACTCTCAACTTTTCATTTCATCTTTGCCTCCCCTTTCTTGTCTAAATTGAGATCATCATGTTTTAAAGTAAACCTAGAAGGAATTTGGTACTTAAGTAATTGCACATCCTCTCTAACACAGTTTGGAGATTTTGTACAGAAAATAAACAATGATGACTGATATTGTAAAAATAAAGGTTACTGCAATCATATATATTTTATGTTTTAATTAGGTACTTTTTCTGAAAATCAATTAATAAATCTACATACAAGTGGATTTTTATTTCTATAGTCTCGATAAAAATGTTGGGTCTGTAATTTTAAAGAATATATTCAAAGTAGTTGTTCCCTTTTGCAAATTTATTGCAAAATTTTTTATTCGTGCAAAAATTGTACCAAAGTTTCTTTCATTGCTGGTAAATCCCACGATTGCATGCTTTAAATCTGAGTTGAAAGCAGAGGATTTCACAGTTTGTTTATAAAAATTGTTGTAGTTTGGAATATGGCAAAATGAATGCATTAGAAAGGGATGATGTCATTTGCTAAAACTGAGGAGTTGTTAAATGTGTATATTTGCTAGAGTTTGGAGCAAATTGAAAATTGGTAACTTCTATTAAGGTGGTAACTAAGTATTCACTAAATTTCGTAGGAAAAGGAAATGCATATGAAATTTTGATGACAAAACTTTAAAAAAATTTGTGGAACAACATTGTCATATTTTAAGCCCTAGAGTAGCATGTTGTCATATTTTAAGCCCTAGAGTGGCATGAATGTTTTTGAAATCTTTCATATTTGTTATTAACATTATTTTCTTACTTTCTTTAGTGATGTAGATATCACCTTAATGCTTTGAAGTTAATAAAAATAAGGATTAAAAGAAGTAATTATTCAAATTTATATAATAACAGTTCAGTTACAAACTTTCATTAACGAATCCAAACATTAGAAAGTTGATGAAACCTAAACTGCAAAAATTACATTTTTTCTGACATGATTTTCAGAGTAAATTTATTGGTTACTTTTTATATTCCATTTGAACTATTTAAATATATTACACTTTTACAGAACATTTTATAAAAATAACAAGCTTTGAGAAAAGTGATTCAACTAGAATTATTATCTAATAAGCTAGAAAAGAAAACAGATGTAATCTGCATAAATAAAACAATGAAATTTTATTTTCAAACTACATGCTTATAAAGTATTACATCAGACTACATATTATGAGGTACATGCAGTGGCATGCTTTATACTACGATAAAGGCAAAGTTCGAAATCCAGACGTCCATTGTCCGGAGTGATCCAAAATCCAGACCTTAAAACCACAAACGGTTTTTTTTTTTTTTTTTTTTTTTTTTTAAGGCTTTACGCATGCACTTTTGATTCCCCCCTCCTTGCATAATAAATCTGGAGAGTCCCAATTCTTAATTTCACTTTAACACCAAATACAATACCTTGTTATTGAAGAAACAATCATTTTAGCATATATTTGTACGATCAGTAATTTGGCTCTGTTACTGCATATCTGCTTGGCTCACATCTCAAACCGAAACGTTCCACAAAGATATACATCGTTGATCTGACGCCAACCTGGCAAATCATTATTTATTATACTTTTCTTTCATCACCCCATGTTTATCAAAACAGGACAACTTGAGTAATGACCCATGTAGTGATGCCTAAACAATTTTTTTATGTTAACAGTGGAAAAATAAAGGCGTATGGTAACCTTTTATGTTAACATTATTCTTGACGATTATTACAGATGTATGTTAAATGGGCTAAAAATTTTGACGAGGAAATATTTACCAAAACTTTCTTTTCATATGCTAAAAATAGATTTTATTGACGATTGACGATACTTATAGACCCAAAGATCACATTTAGGGCTATTTGAATAACCGATTTGTTATTCACATAAACCCAGCACCAGGGCACATTTGGCCGCATGGAGTCGCAGAATTTAGGACACACAAAGACTGCATCAGGTGATAAGATATCTAGCGCCAGTCTAGCTTAAGTATATGTGGGAATTTATTTATTCAGAACTCTGATAAGCATGTGCAAGAAATAGACATAAGATAATAAATAACTAAACTAATACAATTCAGGCTTAATTGCCTCAGTGCGCGATACAGGCAAGATTAAAATTTAACGGAACAACTTGTTGTTAGTTGCGAAGCTCATGATGCATAGCTAAGTATGAATAGTGAAGGATAGCTAAATTTGATGATGATAGGAGTTAAGGTGAAAATTTCCAATTACCGGATTTTTGTTAAGAAATGTGGAGAAATAATAAATGAAGATGATATAAAAGAAGTTTTTCATTGTGAACACAATGCTTCTCAATCATCAATCAATGAAAGACGAAATCTGTAGTATGGTTCTAAATCCAGAAAATACCGCTACCGATAGTGAAGAAAGTGACAGAGAAGTTGCTGAAAACAAGAAAATTCCGATTGGCAAGTTAGTTGGAATTCTCGAAACAGCAGTTACAGGACTTCAACAGTGTAAGTGAAAAAGACATGATGTCTGTCTACAGATTTAAAGAGAAAGTATTAGCACAAAAAACGAAACAACTTGCATTGAAAATTAACAAGGAAAAAAAAAAAAAAAAAAAAAAAAAAAAAAAAAAAAAAAGAGCACATTCTTTCTTTCTTTTTTTTCTTTTTTTTTTTTTTTTCTTCTTTTTCTTTTTTTTTTTTTTTTTTTTTTTTTTTTTTTTTTTTTTTTTTTTGTAATTTTGGATACACTTTAGATCATGAATACTTCATTATTTTATTAATCACAATTTTATAATTTCTACATGCCATCTTACTAAATTCAAACTGATGATCTAATATCCGGAAAAAATCGCAAATCCAGAATCGCTGAAGTCCCGATGAGTCCAGATTACGGACTTTGTTGTACTGTATTAAATATGATCATAAAGGCTGTGGAAGAAATCTTTGTGTATAATGAATGATAGGTGGCAGTGCCCTTGCCATTTATTATTACTTTTTTCCTCCTGTTTAAATGTTTTCTGTATCAGATATATTTAAATTGCCTGTTTTCTTGCAGGACGTTGTTTTGATGGCTCAGACTCTTGAAAAACTGTTTTTGACAAAAATTGCAGAGATGCCAAGAGAGGTAAGATTTTTCTCACATTACTGAAATTTCAAAAACAGTTCTTTCTATAATTTGTATTTTAAAAAATATAAAAAAAGTCTTATTTGCTGAAAATGATTGACAGACAGCAGCTTCAAAATATAACAGTTATTTTTAATTTTCCATGCTAGTAAAGCATGCTTTTTGATACAATTAAAGCACGGGTAATTAATTGTATATTAAAAAATATATATAAAATAAATATAAAAATATAAATATAAATAAATATAAAAAATTAATTGCTGCATCAGAAAATAAGGTTTGTGTTTTGATTCAGTACTCATTATTCTTAATATGTGCAGCAAACTATGAGAATTATTCCATATGTAGTATTAGGTATCCTTATGTTCTTATACAGTAGTAGCTTGGCATTTAAAAAAAATGTAATGTAATTGCATTTGTCCGCTTAAATGCAAAGTAGGCATAATCTTTAGTATGAAGAGCATGAATTTTAACATAATTTCAATTTGTGATATAGACCTTTACTTTACCTGGTCATATTAATATTTTGCAAATTATTTTCTTTAACCCCTTAACTGCCACAGGAAACACACAAGATTCACTCCCCAGTGCCACCGTTTCTCGCACAGGCGTGCATAGTTATGCGATGTATTAGTGGGAAAATAAGTGCAAGTTTTGCTGTCTGAAAACTTTGCTTTCATAAAGAATAAAAGAAAAATGAAAATAAAAATTTAGAGTAAAAGTATAATAAAAAAGATGTATATATATAGAAGATGTGTTTGTATAATATAAAATATATATAATAAAAGACCTCAAAGTGGAGTTTCGATCAATTTATTTTTAGACCGCTAAAGAGTAATATCAGGTTTCAGTGTTACCTTGTAAAATCATTACATCTAAAAAATTATATATTTCTTCAGAACTGGTTAGATGCCACAATTTTGTTCTTGATTTTTCTTTTGCTGGATGTTGGTTCATGTATTGGTCTGCAAAACGGTTAGTTTCTGTTGCAATATGAAACATGAGCAGTTCATCAATTATAATAATAATCAAATAATTCAAAAATATAATAAATATCCGAAATTTAATGCAATAATCAAATAATTCAAAAAAGATAAGTGAGTTTGAAACATCCATTATATCTTTCTTTATTCCTGGAACAGAAGACACAGAATAAAAAAAAATAGCTTTTTATTCAAACATAAGCAATAGCACTGCAGTCATTACTTTCACCATTTCAGAAACATCCCCCTCTCAAATTCCTCCTGCCTCTTCTCTGAAATAGTATTCTTTTTTGCATACTCTGGCCTGGCCATTGTGTTATTGCATTCCAAAGCTTTGCGAATAATTTTACTGGTAGCAGCATAAAGTAAATGACTGTATTTGAGGGGCATATATGTACACCCGGGGCAATTAACGCATTGGCTGAGCAAGGCGTATATATATGCTCTCAATAGTTAAGAGGTTAACAAGACCAGTAATCAGGAAATTATCTTAGAAACTCATGTATTTTTAAGGAAATTTTTTCTATTAATCATGATTATGCCTCAGATAAGCAGCGAATGCAAATAAGTACAAATTTTTGAATTGTAAAATGAAAATAACTAACATAGGATTCTTGAAAATAAGTCTAAGAGCAAAAATGTAGGATTGAAAGGAAGAAAATATTACGTATCCACTTTTGTTTTAAGTAGGTGTTTGGTAATATTTATTTTTTGTGACAAAAAGACATTTTTCCACTTTATGTTGTTTAATGATCATTGCTATTTTTACAGGGTTCGTACGGTCCTTAAAAGTCCTTAATTTTGGCCTTAAAGTCCTTAATAAAATAATCCTTAATTTTGCTCATTTGACATTTCTTATCATTTCTAATGATTGCCATTCTAAGTGTGAATTACGATTTCTCATGAATATGGAATTAAAATTACACAGCTCTTAACTAATCTGTTGGCGGATTTGCATTGCAAACGATTAAAAAAAAAAAAAAAAAAAAAATTAGCTACCCGAACGAAAGTATCGGTGTCTGATTGGCTATTCACGCAATCTTTCGAAACAGGTGTTATCCATAAATTTAGGGAGACTGTGACGAAAGCGTGAAGCCGGAAGTTCTTTAAGAGGTGAAAGTGATGATGAAGGTGCTCGAGAAAAAAAAGGGAGGGGGAGATTCTGAAAATATTTGCCAAAATTAGAGCAATTCCAACCTGGAAGGCCACAACCCTTCCGACGCCAATAGGAACGAGATGCCTGGAAAGTGCATTTTCAATAAACTGTGGCTTCATCAAGCTGACTACAAAGACTGGATATTGATGGATGGCAATCCTTAAATGTGGTCTTTGTCTGAAACAAATTGAAATTTCTAGAATGGGAGAGTCAGCACTGAAAATTCACATTAAAATTAAGTTTCGTTTTATCATTTCAATTTGTTTTTACACGGTTTTGCTTAGCTTAATTTCTGTGTTTGTTTCAATTAAGCCATAAATTAATTTTTTATCACCTTCTACGGAGTTTATTCTCTTTTGCACATACTATATGTATGGGATATCGGGATTATGAGTTTATTTCTGCAGAGGGTCTGTTATCGATTTCGCGGGAAATCTGTTGGCTCCATTTCGATTTTAGGTCGCCAAGGGCAAAATCGGTAACGCTAGCTGAGAAAAAGTGAAGTTCGGAAATACGTTTTGAAGCTTCAATAGACAATTAAGTATTTGGTTTAAACCTATGTTTTTGATAGTAATGCATAATTTTTGCTAATGGCGATACAATTATTAGTTGAAAATAACTAACTAATTAAAAATTTTTTAAATATTTTTAAAGCTGAAAACAACTAATTGAAACTAATTTTCCTGAATTAACTAGACGCAAAATTAACTTTCATGAATTACTAAAGTTATTGGGTAGAAGTTTAACTGAAAATATACATTCCGTATTATATATAT